GTGGTGGAGACTATAGTCTATAGAGGCCTCACGTAATCCCAGCCCCCTGGGCAAACATTGCGTAACGGGGCCGGCCATGGGCGCGTCATCCCGCCACGATGTAGCACTTTTCATGTAGCCTCTACCAGGCTTCGGGAAGCGGCTGGAAAGAGTAGAAATCAGCCAAATAGAGAGACAGCATGCCAGGGCAGTTTGGTCCTGGAGAGCTCAGGAGCGGCAAGCTGTTCTCTCCAGGACCAAACTCCCTCGGCATGCTGTCTCTCTATTTGGCCGATTTCTACTCTCTCCAGCCGCCTCCCGAAGCCTGGTGGAGGCTACTTTTGAGTCGCTCCGCCGGGGTTTGTTTGAGGTGGCCGCGCTTCCTCGCTGCGTGAATGCGGCGGCAGGAAATCCGATGTGACCGTAAACACGCCCGTGTAAGGCAACACCGTGTTCCCCGTGCGCTGACCTGGCCACATGCCGCGGCTACTCGCGATACTGAGCCGTTCAAACAGGCAGCGGCATGGGCCGTTACTGTGTCGCCGGACGTTTAGAGACGATATCTCAGGTTTTGTAACGACTGCAAGTGTTGGCAGGATTCTCCCTTTCATGGTCCAGTTTTGGAGAGCCGTTGTGTGATGTGCCTACAGCTGATGCAGTGTGAAGCTCCACAGGTGAGTGTTCTTGTATTAAAGATGGTCTGTCAGGTCTGTACACCACCTGCCACGGTACCGCAGGTTTTCTAACGACTGCAAGTGTTGGCAGAATTTGTCCTTTCGTAGTCCAATGTTGGAGTAGTACTACTGCGCAGTTTACAGCTGATGCAGTGACTGTGTGAAGACTGTGTGTAGCTGTTCTTGTATAAGATGATCTGTCAGGTCTTTTCTACCACCTGTGCAGGCCAAGCTCCGCTTTCTATTTGAGTCTCACTCGCTATAAATGGTCAGTTAGTCCATACATATTGCTTTGTTGGATTTTAATCCTTTTGCTCCTAATGCCACATTCGTGATCCTAAGTGTTCGGCGTTCTATCAGGCTGTCTACGGTACGCGGGAAAACATATTCCAATCTATTTTCTGACATCGGCCAGGTAACATTCACGGTAATAGGAAATGACAAGTCAGCATATTTACCTGTACGATGCGAAACCAATTTGAATAGCAAATAGCCGCCTGGACAACAGCAATCAAAACGTCTACCAGCACAAGGGTTTGCCCTCTTATATAGTACGATGCTAGTCATGTACAGAAAAAAGGATGATCAGACCTTAACAGTCATAGTTGCCAGTTTCACCAAGCACCTCTACACTATATACGTCCTTATTATTATATCCAGAACCATGTGCTTTATCCAGAACCATGGTCAGGCACGGTTCTGGATAGTCCACGTGTATCCAGAACCATGTCTAGGCATGGCAACTCTTATGTTCTTGGATACGAGGAGACTATCCAAACTGTGACCGTGCCTGATCCTAACCCAAACCCATTCAGGCCTAGACCCAGATAGATATGCACAATACGCTAGTCCTCGGTCTCGGCATTAATCTCCAAGCAGATCCTAGGGTCTCAAAAACAGAGTATCAAATTGGCCAGAGAGGGACCATGAGCGACCCAAGGGTGGGGGTAGCGACAAAAAAAACTGGCCATATATAAAAAGCTAACGATCATTCCCCCACAACCTCTGCTTGACGAGTAGGTGGATGTGTGTGTTGACACGACCGGGCTGCCCTAGGGCTGCCCGTCTGCGCCAAGTGGCCGTGAAGTGGCCATATAACCACAAACACACCGATCCGCGCTGAGGGCGTCGCGCCGCCGCCTGCCTGCCGAGTAGCCTCCTGTGCAGGCTCCGGGGCGGGTAGGGTGGGAATTTTGATACAGCGTTTTGAAGAGTTTTTAACGCGTTATTTTGATAGCCGGCCATCCTACACCCAGCCGCCGAGAGAAGGTTCCATCCCACCCACTTCTTAATTCTCTCGACGGCTGGTTGGTTGTAGGATGGCCGGCTATTAAAATAACGCGTTAAAAATACTTCAAAACGCTGTATCAAAACTCCCACCCGCCCCAGAGCCTGCACAGGAGGCTACCTGCCGATACCCTCTCCTTCAGTCGCCCGTTTGTTTCCGCCACAATAAATGTCTCTGGAGGAAAACAAACACGAAAACTGGCCTGAAACCGGGCCTGGCAGGCGGGGCTATAGTCTCCAACAGACTCCTTTGCAGGCCGAATACTAGTAGATGGTACAAATCGGCCTAAAAATAGGGATATCGTTGGCCAGAGGAGTTGGCCGGCCAGACAGGGTACATTCAAATGGCCGGCCATCTCATCTGGCCAATGATATCCCCTTTTTAAACCGATTTCTACCATCTACTAGTATTTAGCCTGCACAGGAGTCTGGTGGAGACTGAGGCCGTGCCGACGGTGTAGCCGACTCGACACCGTGTTTGTTGTGCTGCGGTATCGCTACCTACATCAGACCCCGGCCTTTCACAATTACCACAGCCTCGCGGACAACAGGACCTGCTAATGCACCGGTCCCGGCCCGGCTTGTCGGGTCCCTGTCGTACAAAGCTTGCCTTCATGACAGGAGAAGTCGGGAGGAGTCGTGTCTACTTTGAGGCTTTGAGGGCCTGCAAACCCTTTTTCGTAAGGCGTAATCAGGCCGTTTTAGACTCCGTAATTCGTAGGCAGCTTCCGCAAAAATCAACGTAATTCGTAATTGGACATTAGCCGCAAATCGTAAAGTCGTAATCAGCTCTGGGACTTTAACGTAATTCGTAATCGGCGGCGAAAATTTTGCGTAATTCGTAATCACTAACACCCACCCACCCCTTGTAGGCCCTCTTCTTTATCACAGGTCATTCAGTGCTAACGCAGTTTTGACCGGTATTGAATCATATCAACGCTGGAACACCGGTATGGAAGGCGTGGCTTTCGTAGCCTTGCCTATACTACAGGAAAGTCTTTCCAGAGTCGACATTGTCACATCATTCGGGCAATATTAAAGTGTGTACAGCGTCCTTACGGTATAAAGAATTATACATTGTGTGTATGTGTGTCCAACAGCGTGGCAGGTCTATAATGGCCAATGGATGGAGGAAATGTTTTCAGGCGCAGGCTACAGAGGCGATTGAAAGGCTAGAAAAGGCGACATTCTGCTCTTTCCAGCCGCTCCCGACGCCTGGTACAGGCTACGTTTATCCAACCCCCCCTGAGTTCGAGGAAAGCTTGGGAAACCGCCAGCTTCGATGTAGGTCGGACGGCCTCGACTTTCACGGCAAATGATACACAACTGTGGCCTTTCAAGTTGCCATAATATTGACATTGCCTCCCCATTTGAGGCGGCAGTACGCACGCGTCTGGTAGTACAGCGGGATGAAGCACAAAAGGGGGTACCAGGGGACAGACTGCAAGCATGGTGGGGACGGTACAGGCGTGGTTCAGGGATAGTACAAGGATAGTACGGCGGTAGTGCAAGGATAGCACAGGGGTATATCATAGTACAGGGATGGTACAGGGGTAGTACAGGCCTAGGGAGGGTACAGGGATAGTACATGGATGGTACAGGGGTAGTACAGGCCTAGGGAGAGTACAGGGATAGTACATGGATGGTACAGGGGTAGTACAGGCCTAAGGAGAGTACAGGGATAGTACAGGGGTAGCGTAGTACAGGGACGGTACATGGTAGTACAGGGATAGCATAGTACAGGGATGACACAGGGATAGTACAAGGGTAGCATGGTACGGGGACGGTACAGGGGTAATACAGGGATAAAAGTACAGTGATAAAAATACAGGGATAGTACTAATCTACTGTGGCCAATGGATACAGCGTCGACACCGTATGACCTGGATTGGGATTAGATAGCACAGATGTAGTACTGCAGTACAGGGGTAGTATAGGGTTAGTACAGGGATGGTACAGGGGTGGTACAGGGATAGTACAGGGGTAGTACTGAGGCAGTGCAGGGGTAGTATAGGGTTAGTACAGGGATGGCACAGGGGTGGTACAGGGATAGTACAGGGGTAGTACAGGGGTAGTACTGAGGCAGTGCAGGGGTAGTATAGGGAAAGTACAGGGGGAAGTACAGGGATAGTACAGGGGGAAGTACAGGGATAGTACAGGGGGAAGTACAGGGATAGTACAGGGGGAAGTACAGGGATAGTACAGGGGGAAGTACAGGGATAGTACAGGGGGAAGTACAGGGATAGTACAGGGGGAAGTACAGGGATAGTACAGCGGTAGTGTGACACAGTGAGGGGCTCATCTATCACAAGAAAACGTGCTTTATGATACGTGTTTTTTATCTGTAATACTAATATAAAATGTGAAAAGCTTAAGCTATTTTCTGTAGTAGTTAGTGCTTGGTTAGTTAGTTAGTTGAACCCTAGTGCAACAGATTGAGACTTTATGGTGAGATTCGCAATTTAACTTAGCAATTTTCATTGTAGGCTATTCTTCCTGTGGTCCTTATTGCACAAAAGTACAAGACATTGCATAAGACTAAACAACGCAAAAAAATTATACAGAAGATACATGTAGAGAACATATACAAAGAAGTTAACGGTTAATACACCTATTCTCCACACGCCCAAAGCATCAGGTTCTGAAATGGACCCGTTTTTTTTATGGCAGGAATGGCAGCTATGTATGTATGTCTTTCTCGTGGTTGCTGACATTGCCCCATGCATTGTTCGAGGACTAAAGACTGGTTTATAGAAACATAGGTACGAAACTGGAGAAGTGCGCACGTGTGCACACCCCTGTAGAGAAGTGGAAGCTTCCAATTGTGCCACTCAAGGCTATGAAGTACTGTAATGTATCCTGTGACGTAATTAATTTGTACTGGTGGCTTTCTCCATATAGTGCCCATAGTACTGAGGTCGATGTTGGTTTGACACGCAGTTCCCAGCCTGAGCTTGTCCTATATGAATACATGTAAATAGTAGAAATCGGTCTAAAAAGAATGTAGCTGGCCAGGGGAGTTGCCCGGACATTGAGGGTCCAGTTTGCCTGCATAGAGGATATTTCTACTTTTAATTATTCAGCCTGCAAAGGAGTCCGGTGGAGACTACACGTAGACTCAGTAACCAGCCTGAGCTTCTTCTATACCCGACACTACACACAAGACATAGAAATAGTTGAGAGTATTAAATGCGCATATACGTCATGTTGATGAGTACGTCAGAGCTTCTGGAGCAGATGACGTAAAATCGCAGACTTCTGTGACGCAGTGCGTTCCTCCCAGTTTCACAGCTCTTCCTTACACGAGTAACCTTGACCTACCTACTAAAGGAGCTTCGGCTTTCGGTTAATTATTGGCTTTTTATCGGGCTTTCTATTTTTCTTCGGTGGCGTGTTGGGTACTGCCCTATCAATTTGATACTGTCTTGCACCAAACGATCTGCTTGAAGGTTAACAGTGACCTGTTAGCCTCTATCAGGCTTCGGGAGGCGGCTGGAAAGAGTAGAAAACGGCCAAATAGAGAGATAACATGCCGAGGGAGTTGATCCGCTAGACAGAACATTTTGCCGCACCCGAAGCGGCAAACTGTTCTCTCCAGGCAGCAGACCAACTCTGGCATGATGTCTCTCTATTTGGCCGATTTTCCAGCTGCCTCCCGAAGCCTGATAGAGGGCACCAATAGGCGGTGACCGAGCCCTTCCTGCCGTGGCGGT